CACTCACTTAAGTGGGAATGCCCATTCCTTAGCAACTTAAAGGAATGTTCATCCACTAAATGTGGGAATGAGTATTTCTATGGAATGACAATTCCAACTTCAAAAACATGCTGTGTTTGGTACGCTTAACAGGAAGTGGGAATGGGCGTAAGGATGTTCATGGGAAGAAGGTAGTTTTTAGAGTAATTCCAACAAAAGGAAAAAAAATAATTTTAAAAAATCAAAAGGAAGTTTAAAGATACCAGCATCAAACTATTGCAGATCATCCATCAAGAAAAGGTATTAGAAACTATCACTGCACAATTCCAGATGAACAATACAAATGACAAACCATTTTCTGCCGGTTAATGTAGTACTCCTGGCGCATGACCTTCAAATCATAATCCCCTAAAATTCAGAAAGAAGTAACTTCATTAGGCCATTATCATGGTAAGAGGCTACCTTGCGAGATGCAGGAATTTTTGTGACAACATACCTTGCAAAATATACGTGTCTTGAAGTTGAGCAAGCTCTGAACATAGGCATGGAATAGTCTGCAAAAAGAAAAGAAATAATAAGAAAGGGTAAGATGATTTGAAAGACAGGCAAGCACATTAACAAAGGATAAAAAAGTATACAAGATTTGGAATAGCTGAATTATTAGTGCACAGTATTCATAAGAGATGCCTGAGGGGATATTAATTAATATCTACACAATTTCTTCCATGCAAAGGAGAAAAATGCAAGAAGTTTAGACATCCAAAAGAATGACCAGCATTAAAAAAATTATATAATTCTGCAATGATTTAACAAGTCTTTTAGATTATGAAAGGCTGATAGGAAAGAAGTATTCATATTTGATTTATAACTTTATGAAAGATGTTCTTCATTCACAGCAACATCTCCTGTGGAAAGGAACTGTTAGATATTATTAGCATAGATATTATTAGCATGTATTATTTAGATCTAGTAGATATTACAAGAATCAAGATATTATGAGATATTGTGAGATGTTGGATATGACTTTATCTCCTGCCTATTTCATAGTATCCTCTTAATCTCTATTTAAGAGATGTTAGGATTAGATGAAATAATAACTTACCTTATCTATTTTCTCTACATGGTATCAGAGCCTAATTGATCCTACATACCTTCTCCTATCTTTTTAGATCTCAAGGCTGTCGAGAGGCTTTTGCATGACCTTAATGCTCCCTTCGACGGCTTTGATGGCATCAACGAATTCAACACCATCAACAATAACTTTAGCATTATTATTTTCTAGATCTTATCAAACATCCTTCACAAAATAACCTAAATAAAAAAGGTGGTATTTACTATTCCAGCAACAGCGCTCCTCTTTCGATGTTTCTACTAGCTTACCTGCCTAGGGTTTCTATGGCTTACCTGCCTAGGGTTTCTACTGGCGTACCCACCTAGAGTTTCTACTAGCATACTAGCCAAGACTTCTTCTACTGGTTTACCCGCCTTGGGTTTTTACTGGTTGTGATTATAACTTTCTTATTGCTAACATCTTCAAATATTTCAGGCAAAGATGACATTACCAAAACTCTTGCAACTAGGCATTTTATTTCCATTTGCAACAAGTTGCACATATAGTATATATGCTCTAGCTTAAGGGGAAGAGTTAGATATTATTAGTATTTACTATTTAAATCTAGTAGATATTATAAGATGTTATGAGATATTGTGAGATGTGATTAAATATGATTTTATCTCATACATATTTTGTAATATCCTCCTAATCTCTATATAAGAGAGGTTAGGATTAGATGGAATAATAACTGTCTTCTCTATTTTCTCTATAGGAACATTAATAATCCCGCCTGATATGTCTCGAAATAGTCCATTGTGAAAAGAAAACAGACAAATGGTTACTCAAATACACATCAAAAATCCGATTTGTCACAAGAAGAAACAAATGACTGCAGTACTACTCTGCTCGTCATTTAAAAAGGGAATAGTTTTTTTTAGCAAAATATACAGCATCACAAGGAAAGGAAAGTCAATTAGATCCAATAAATACCAAATATGGAAGACATGCATATGCTGGAAACAGTTGTTAGCCATAAACAAAGTATGGATAGTCTATACACCACAAAAAGATCTGTCAATTATATACCTCAGCTAAGAACTTCTGGACTTTCCGATGAAGATTTGAAAGTTCTCCAGCCAATTCAGAATGTTTTCTCCTGCAAAGCGAATACATAAGAGAAGGGTGCCAGATTAAGTGGGTAGAAGACAAGAAGAGACTTCTTGCAAAATGTTGCGATCATTTTTGTAACAAACTGGAACTTGTATGCTGAAATTTGTTAAACTTGAATTTACTAAAACACGAAACAAAAAAAAATACAAGACGGTAAGATTAATAACTCTATTTAATTCATGAAACGACATTTCCCCAGGAACTATGATATTTCAGTTACAGAGGTGAGAAAGATGGAGTCATTATTGGTTAACCACCAATGCGAAAGAGCTAATAAATCATGTTACTGTAAGTTTTAAAGACATTATTTCTAGTAACCAATTACCTATCCAACACAAACAAGCCACTTTTCTTAATCTACTTCAATTATTTACTAAAGTAATCCTAGATTAGCAAATTGGATTCAGAGAAAACAAGGCATTCATATCAGGGGCTACCAAGACCCCTGCAAACATCAAGAGAAATTTATTATAGACTGAACGGAAACTATAGAAAAGCTACAAAAACTTACAAACTGTTTGCAGGTACATAAAACCATAGGCCAGAGGACTGCAGAAAACCTAATAAAACTAAGTTACCCAACCATATTAGGATGACATGGTCCATTTCCAATATTTCTTGACATGGAATCAGTTTTAGGAGATCCATACAATCGTCCATTTTTTATATTTAGCATACAAAAGATGCCATTTTAAGATCAACCACATGCCAAACAAAGGTGTCAAAGGACCATACTTAAACCAAGGTAAAAACCAGAATCTCATAAGCTCTACTAAGAAAGTCATCTTTTATGAGCATGTTCTTTAGTGCTTGCTTATCTATCTTGAAAAATTACGTTGGCTGCGTGCTTCCCTTCACTCCGGCACATCGCATTGCACCTTGTATATGTGCACATAGAGGGACTTTGCACCCTACATTGCGCCTCGTGTATTAATAACACTGGTCTCGTACGGTACTCAGTCCACCTTATTATTTATTGCTTTTAGTAAAAGCCTCAAAGATTTGTTTAGTATCCACACAGAAATAATCATACTCATCATCTTTCTCTTCTCCAAACAAAATGGCATTTGCTTCAAGTGATGTATGAAGTGTAGACCATATCAACAGATTAGTCCAGTTGTCAAGTGCAAGTGGCAGGCTGCACTTCAGTCTTTAGCTAAGGAGAATGACAGACTATAGTGATGACACTGGTTTGGTCTCTAGTTTTCTTTAGCATAGAAATTATCAGGATTCAGAAGTATATCAATACCCTCCTTCAATGAAACAGACTAAAGTACATATTGACTCCAAATATTGTTGATCTCTATATATTTACACTCATCACACCATCTACAAGCTAAAACTTGCAGCTTGTGCCAAGTCGTAAAAAGTGCAAAAACTATAATTGCCAAGATACATCTAAAGGAATATTCTTGAAGAAAGAGATTTTGATAACAAATGTACATAAAAAGGACAAAGTATTGAGCAGTAAATGTGAAGTGAGCACCAAAAGTGCATGTCCTAAGGATAAAACTATGGGACTTGTTTGAATGCTTTTCAAGAGATCTTTCCATGGACAAATTGGAAATGGAAAAAAAATAAATCCACAATTTACTGTGTTTACTTAGAAAGATGGAATATGCAGATGGAAAAAGTGATAAATACCGAGCAAACAGGATAAGAGATCCAAATAGAACTTGAAATATGAAAGACATACTTAATAAGATCACAAACAAAATATCAATTAATCCTACATGCTATGACAAAGTTCATCATGTTGGTTTAGCAAGACAACAGTACAATGTCTGCTGTTATAATCTAGGTAACAGAAACCTTCTCACTTGCATGACACAAATATTCAATTAACGTACGGTACTTGTCTCCTTGAAAACAAAATCATTACCACCCTAAGCCTGAACTTTCAAACTGGCTTCATTATTAAGTACGACGGCAGAATGCTCTACATGACTAAACGAAAGTGATGCACTCTTCTCACAAACAAAAGAAAAAGGTACAATACAATATTGCACAAACAATAGCATATGACAACCACCAGGCATGATAAGAGAGAAATATTGAGGTTCGATTTGATACAAAAAGCATATCATAACACTAGTCAGTTTACAATATGTAGTACAATAGAGTGTAAAGCTTGATTAGTAAAATACCTAAGAGAATGTATATCACGGTGTATGTGAGCTTCATCTGAAGAGATTTGAGACTTCAGCGTTGCGAGAATAGCTTGTTGTTTAGCATTCTCAACTTGGGCTTCAACCCACTGCCTTTCACTCGTTGCAAATCTGTTGCAGATTAAACTATGATAAGTAACAAGAATAGTCTCAAGAAATGATAAATAAGAAGTAAATAGCTACAGACATGCATTGCAAAGTAATAATGCACCACGTGGAAAATATCACAATATAAGCACTCGCTAATAAGGCAATAATGTGATTTGACTGTATATTTGGTGTCTGCAGCTGCAATCTGAACTGCTATTGAGCATCTATCAAAATAAAGGTTCCAGAGGAAGGGGAACAAATATTAGAAATGTATGAGCATAGGATTCCATCATCACATTTCATATATATCAAAATCTGTGAAAATTAAACTATCAAGCATGGGCTAATTTCCCTGCTGGTAAGGATGTGAATAGCAGTATCGTACACTTTGTTGCTTCCTGCACCCATGTTTGTTTAGGACAACCACAAAACCTAGCTGCTTCTTCAACTACAACCCTATCATTCTTCCTAACTAGGACAAAATTTAACCTCTACCGCACATGCCCAAACCATCTAAAGCAAATCTACCTCTTTTTTTTTCAATTATAAAAGCTACGTCTAACTGTGGCTAACTCCTCTATCCTATCCCTTAGCATGTCCACTAATCCATGCAACCGTTTAAGCTACAAACGTTATTGGACAAGTTACCAATTTGTCCAACTACTTACCATGAAGCATATACTATGGCACATAGGTCTCATAAATGTTTCACCCTAACTTCATGGTCTATGGTCATATTGAAGATTCTCCACTTTAAAAACCCTTCTATAATTCTATGAACATCCTCCAGATAATCAATTTTTCTCCCTCAAATTCATGGTCTACAGTCAAGGGAAACACTTATCAACTTTAAAGACCCTTCTTTAATTGTATGTACATCCTATAGTGTCTGTCTCCAAATCATGGATGGTAAAGCGTACACTGTAGTTTCAGAAGTTAAAGCACGATAATAGAAAGAGACTCAACCAATGATGACAAAAAGAGAATCAGCCAACAGAGTTAACATCAAGGATTTCAGAATTAAATATCATTCACAAACTTATAATTCCGTTTAGATATCCATGTACATCATTTGATATGATCTCTCTCTTGTTCTCAAAAGGAACCCAAAAAAAATTCTCAAGAGATTTCCACCTATACTAAATATTGACATGTATGATGATGTTACACAGCTCCATCATGTAGCATAATATGCCAAAGGTTTGCATAGCCAAAAAAAAGACATAGAAACTGAAATCAGAAAGAAGAAGATGATTGTGCTAATGGATAAAAAGAATATAAACCTAGAAAAGCATGAACTGGCACCAAGTAACGCCATTTTGTAATGATAAAAACAAAATAAGATAGTGCTAAATATGTCAAGTATAGATAATATGTTATCTTGGCATATCTTGGCCACATAGCTGAGAAAGATTGTAAGAGGATCATTTGGTAATGATAGTAAACAAAATAAGATTGTGGTAAATATTGTCAGGTATGGATAATATGTTGACTTGGCCAGGCTAAGAAGCATTGTAAGAGGCAACAAAAAAGTCCATATCCAGCCACCGGACCGTCAATAATCAGAGACATAGATGCTACCTTCTTGGTCTAGAACATAGTATCAAACATGTAAACAGTAGAAAGGTTAACTGGCTAAACTTAAGTATCACTTGCATAACCCTAGCTAACAACACTGTATCTAAACTCTGTTTATTGAAAGCCAACACTCTAAGTCAAACAATTTCTATCTTTACTAAAACAATTGGTTATTTTACTGTAGCTATACACTGTTCATAGCTGCAGTACACCGTTTTAATCCTAAAGGCTTTTTTGGGGGAAAATGCCACCCCAAAGAAAAAGAAAAAAAAAAAGAAATCAATGCTTCCCCCTCCAAGTCATATGGTCAAAGGTGTTACACCCTTCAAATTCAAAGTTTATTATTTTCTCCCCATAGTTAACCAGTCAAAGGTACATTCAGCTCTTCCTTCCCACTTTACCCCTAATCAAACAGTTGAGTGGTTAACTTTAAAAATTGCAAATTGAACCCTTAAAAATCTGAAAATTGCAAAATCAGTCCCTAAAATTCAGAAGTTACAAAAAAGACCCTAAAATACAAAAACAGCCCCGGAACTAGACAATCGCAAAACCAACCCCAAAATCAAGAAATTGCAAAAACAGGCCCCAACAAACCATAAATTACAAAACAGTCCTTTATAGTGTGTTGTTTTCCTAATTGTCAGATTTCAAGGGGGCCGGTTTGGAAACTTAATATTTTTTAGGGATGTTTTTTTGTAATTTTGGATTTTTAGGGGTTGTAATTTCAAGTTTTAAGGACTGGTGTGGAGTTTTAAATTTTTAAGGGATTTCGATTTTTAAAGGTGTTGATTACAATTTTCATGTTTAAGGGTTGTTTTTGTTAGTTTCGGGATTTCAAGGGGCTATTTTGCAATTTTGCGACTATTAAGGGCTGTTTTATCATTTTCAATTTTGGTCTGCAATTTTCAAATTTGGTTTGTAATTTGCAAATTTTAACAGGCCGCTTTGTAATTTTTTGGATTTTTTCATGGTTGTTTTTGAAATTTTATGATTTTGGGTTTTTTGAAGTTCCGGTTTAGGGGTTGATTTTGCAGTTTTCAGATATTTAGAAGTTTTATTTGCAATTGTTTCGAAGATAACCACATGACTATTTGCTTAAGGGCAGAGCAGAAAGGAAAAGTCCAATGCGCCTTTGACTGGTTTACCTGCTGGATAAAAGAATGAAATTTGAACTTGAAGGGGGCAGGTATCATTGATAAGATAATATGACTTGATGAGGGGAAGCATTAACTTCATTTTATAGTAGGGAGGAAGCAATTTTCTTTTTTTAAGCCTCTAAGCCCAAATTTTCCCTCCATTTGTTTCTGAGCCGGCCCACATCAAAGTTGTGATTCTTGCTTATAAATCAAAAATTTTATCCCATTTCCATCCAGTTCCAAAGTTTTACTACGGTTTTATGCCTATAAATCCAAAGTTTTACTGTCATTATTTTTAAACTCACTCACTTCCAAAATCACTCTCAGATCTGAAATACGAAGTGGTATTATTTTTTGCCTTTTTTTCACATGAATGTCGCAACATTACTAATTGTTGATGAGGTCTTTTGCCTATAAAACAAAAACTGATTAACAAGGTTAAAGTGTTATTTTTCGCTTTTTTTTTTTTTTGACAGTGCTTTCTTACTTCCATTCTCTCACTAACATTACAAAGGGAAATGAATAATTGGGATTAATTTCCTTCTAATTGTTGCGTTTATTCTTGAATGAAGGGGCTAATTTCGAAATTACTTAAGAATCGGGGGATCTAACAGCAATTTCAACAATTTGAGGGACTAATCTCAAAATAACTTAAGAATCAAGGGACCTAATAGCAATTTAATGATTTGAGCTACTAATTTCAAAATATGGAAGATTTAAGGGACTAGTATTCGAAAAAAAACCCTATAATTTTCGTCATCTGCTACAAAAATATGATGTATTTTTAAAGCAAGCGTTTACACTTTTATTTTTTTGTCCCTAAGTTGTTCTATTTTATTATTCCTTGCTATATAGATGCAATGTACTTCTAAACCAAATGTTTAAACCGTTATTTCTTAAGTTCCTTCCATACTAATATTGTGGTATCGCAAGCAGAAGATGAGTCTTTTCTGCACATAAACCCAAAGTTTTACCCTCATTATTTTTAAACTAACTCGCTTGCGAAAAAGGTTTTCTGCCAATAAACCCAAAGTCTTACCTCTGTTTATTTTTAAAGTCATCCACTTCCACAAATTAACCTTAGTCGTCAAACACTCCATCGCAAATTCACTATGCATTTCAATAGTTTTATATGGTGTAAGTTGATATATTTTTGTCGCAACTTGCTATATTATTTCTTCTGAGTTGTTAGATATACAGTGCAGTTTTAAATCAAATGTTAGACTGTTATTTATTTCTATGGCTATATTATTTCTTCTAAGCTGTTAGATAATACAGTGCGGTTTTAAACCAAATGTTAGACCGTCATTTTGCGTCATTTCCACGCTAATGTCGTGGCAACGCGCAGGTCAGTTTTGCTCGTTCATATTGAGATATTCTAAGCCATCATCCTTTACTACATCATCAACAAGGCGGGCAGAATGTACTACACAGTTGATGTTAAGAATACTACAGTAGTTGAATTTCAGATGAAACATCTCATTAACATGGAAGACAGTAATGATCCTGCAGATAAGTTTTCTATCTGGAAATAGACTCATACATAAATTCCTAACTAACTACGTCTTTGAACCAATTGGTTATAAAAACACTGTTGCGGTCTTCCTTTCTAGGATAATGAAGTGCATTGTGAGGCCAGGAAGTCAGGAACCATGAAACCATGTCACTTAAACATACAATTCTGAGCTTTCTAGGAGACTTATTGTAAGATTATTGATGAAGCCAATAGCCTATTCCACAAGCCAAATAAAAAAACAAGGAATAAAAAGTCGAAGGATGTCAAACCAAAAATGTGTACATTGAACGTAGCCGCTGCAACTCAGCTATACGATGATGATGATGAGATTTCTCCGTGTCTCCTGAACAATATTGAGAATAGAAAAGTATTAAATTATGTGCAAGCTCAAGAATGCATAACTTGAAGATAGATGTATCTACAAGTACACATCTTGCCTGTTCTAAAGAACATAAGTATAAATATGCTGATTTTCATGTATCAGGCTGTAAATAATACATGAGCAAAAATTATATTGCACAAACCAACAAACTGCTAGAAAAATATGAAGAAGACATACTTTTCAACAACCCAATATTTCACATTGTGCAGGAATAAAAAGCAAAGCAGATAAAGACCTTTCTTAAGTATGCATGAAACCTTAAGTATGCATGAAACACCACTATTTTCACGTAAGTAATATTGTGCATGTTCAAAGTTTATTTGCAATCCTCAAATGCTGATGAAGATACCCGAGGCGACATAATTAGCATCCCAGTTTAAAGTCTTGGTGTAAGTAAATCAAAATGATAAAAGCTGCTGATAAAGATTCGGATTCTCAGATGCATACAGATATCATGAAATTACCAGAAATATACCTCGTTTCAAGCAATTAGTGATGTCATCCAGGCTCACCCATGAACAATTGGATTTACCCTCCTCAGCAACGAGTCGAAGCGGCCCCTGAGTTAAAGATAAATTAGTTTTGATACATTAAAATTATGAAGAAGCTAGTAGAGTTGCCAAATAGCCTATAAATTCACAATGTTCTAATGTCTAGAAGGTTCATTAAACCAATTGGTGGTTACTTAAACATTAACGCACACAGGCAATCATATCATACGCCAGTTGTTGATGGTGAAGGTATAATGTTGATGATGATGATGATGATTGTAAAGTCACTTTTAGTGGACGACCATAAAAGTTAAAACCCTTTGTTTATTTAAGCAAGAGATATTGTTAGATGCTTTCACTATCACATAGATTCGACATCAACATCATGCAGCATCTAATGTGTACTTTGGAGTCATATGATGTTCATCTACATATATAATTAACTGAAACAAGAACTAGCTTTCCACATACCCTTGAAAGGTATCAGAATAACAGTCCTCTCTATTTCCTTAAGCTCTAAACAAAACTAAGCGTATATTATGTTGGAGCTTATTTGATTACGTGTTAAGATGCTTCATGTTTGCATGTGAACTGGCGGTGTCTTAGCACATATAAATGGAATAGTAGCACGAAGAGATCCAAGGAAATATAATAGTATTAAATTTCTATCCGTTTTCTTAACCAAATATAAGAAAGACAATGATTCCAAGGTAGATTGCTAAATATTCCAATCAAACCATAATGAAAGATTTTGATGAGTAGCATGCATGTTATACTTGCTCTCGCAAATTATTTGAGTAGTTCAGAAACAGGTTTCAAGGTTTTCCACACCACTATGGAATTTGATAGATATTCTACTATAACAGACGTCAATTATCACCCATAACAATCAACTTTTTGCATAAGAACAGGAATATATTAAAGAAGACAAAGGAATTTGGAAAAATCATGTTTTTTATTGATCGAAGTTGGTTTCTGAATGAACTGAATTGAATCAAGTAACACTCGTGCAGATTAGTTGAAGTATAGGAGTTGAACTATATGCAGGTTAGCATAGTGGTCCCTAAAGGTATGTTAGATGCAATAACAAAATAATGCATACTGCTAATAGAAACGTGGTATGATCAAAGGTTTAAAGGTAATGAAGTGCCTATAGAATAGTTTACTACTATTGCACTTATATGATTGATAATTATACATGTAAACAGAACCAAAGCATTGATTAAACACAGGTGTGATTATTATTTATTATGTATAATGAACCAAGGGATCAGCTGTATCCAACTCCATGGTCAGGAACTTCTTGACAGATTGGCCAAAAGAAAAGGATGGTACAGCTATTCTTTTATAATCCAGCAGCCAAAATTTTCATCTTGTAGTATTGTGAATATGCATAGATCTTTCCAGTTAGATTAATATGGTTCAGTTAGCTTGGCTCATGTTGAGCAAGATTATGTTTGGATAGTTCGTGTTTGATTTGATAGAGTTCAAATTAAGAAGATATGATGATGGTGTCATAACTCTTGACACTTTTTGTTAACCATTCTCTATTCCTAGGCAAGTTATGGTACAGTAAATATTTTCGGGATTAAAAATAGGCTCCACCAAGACATTTTCTACTTCTTATTACTGTCCAGCAGTCTGTCTGTACCTGGGCAAGTTATTTTGGTACAACGAGTACTTACAGGATTGAAAATAGGCTCAACCTAGACATTTAGCTCTTTATTACCATCTAGCTCTCTATTGTCTGTTTAAAGACATGCAGTTTTCATCTACAAGAGAGGACAACGTTGAAGCTCGGTAATGCACAAGAAACATTTAAAGGGCTTACAAGCCAATAGACCACACCAAGAAAAATAATAAATTTGTGTGGCTAGAATAAAGAAATTGAAATTTTAAGGGTGAAAATGGATCTCCTGTAACTACGTCCTCGCTACATAGTTATTAGAAGATCCCTTCTCGCAGCAGTAAAAGAGGGAACAGCAAAAGCTGAAAAGGGAATTGCAAACGCATCTGAAAACCTTCTTCCATAAGCCATCATTTTATTGAATACTTTGTTTCAGATTCAATCATTCGGTCAGCAATAAGAGGTTTGGATTTTCCTTTCCGAAGTAAAACCATGTAAAGCCTAAGAAGCTGATAGTAAGAAGCTGATAGCAAGAAGCTGATAGCAACTAAGAATCTATTAATTATTGAAGTTCCTCTTAGGAGTTTAAAGTTTTCTGCTCTCACTCCCTTCAGTAACTTCTCTCTATTGTCTTCTTTATTTTTTTCATTTGCATTTCCTCAAAAAAAGTTGTATATGTTGACAGTTTCTATGCTCTAAGTTACTGATACAGAAATTTATCATCTATTAAATCTGAAGAGAAAATCAACCTTCTATCTTTATCTCAATATTGCAACTTGCAAGATTCTTTGAAGTAATCAAGTTTTTTCTCTACAGTCTACATGATATTTTGATTCTTATCATTTTTCCGAACTGTAAGCATGTTCGCTAATGTGAACACCCGATTAATGTAAGACTAGAACAGAACTGAAGCAAAGCCATCAAATCTTTTGATCATCGCCATCACTAAACTAACATTACCAATACACATATCAACCACTCCAATCCATGTTTCTTGGGTCTATATCTAGTCCTTACTCCATCAAGTATAATCCTGTAAATCCTTGTGATGACAGACATAATAGTTGGATTTGATACTATGTTAGCATGTTCACGTTTTATCCTCAATTTTGAAACTATAAATTGTGACTCTGCTATGCTGCATAAGAAAGCAAAAAGGTTGAAGGCATCAATATCAGTACTAGGCAGGAATATTGGGTCCAAATCGAATAGTTACATTAGCTTCTTGGCATGAAGTTTTAATATCTTCCGATGAATCCGTCTGTGCCACTAATCAAATAAGTTGGTATCTTCCGTCTATCTACTGGGTATAATATCCAAAGTCAAAAATTAATATAGAGACTGACACTGCTTCTGTAAAAATGCATCCTTATGATACATCAATACCCAAAAACGTTCTGTAGAATACAGATAAGCCCCAGCTCATTCAGGACAATATTATGTGAAACAGAAACCCCACAGAACGTAATGAGCTTAAACAAGCTGCAGTCAACAAATATGATCAGGTATGCATAATACAACAGCATTATTTTCAATAAAGCTTGATAATCCCACATTTCAGCGGAGCAGTTCATATTCAACCATGACCGCAAATGTTCTATCCACGTAGCAATCATGAAAAGAAAACTAGTAATTTACACCCTAGGCCCCAAAAATTGATTAAACATAAAATGGCTAGCGCAAGGTTAACGCAATTCAACATGATCATCTCTAAGAGCCTTTATCAAGTTGACATAATGTCATAAACTAATAGCAAGACAACAAAATCGCAAGAACTTAGAAATAGACAACAATAGTTCTTAAATAATGTACCTTCTCAAACTGTTTAGAAAACCACTGGTTTAGCTCCTTGCTGCAAACGGAATCATTAGCTAGGTAGGAGCGGAAATCTGAGTAAGCTAAGTAGATCCCATCTTCTGGTTAATGAATTAACACTAAAATTTCAGCAGCGCATAAATAAGAATAAATAATAATGATGAGATAATAAATAATGACAGCGAAATATTAACTAAACAAAGAACCAATAAAAGAAAACCTTAAACACATGAAGTAAAACTCTTTAGACATCACTTCAAACTTCAAGTTCAACAACAAAGACAAGAACCAGAAGTAAAAGGAAAAGAAGGGAAGAAGCATACCATCCCCTGAATGGTAGTGTGCCAACTCAAGTGCGGTAGAGGCAATTTTTCCAAGAACCGCATTCATCTAAAAGTAAGAAATAGAGATCATAATGCAGTACTTTTCTCATGAGGCAAATATGCATTAAATAACCTATGGCATATGATCTGGGGATAAAGAAGCAATATATATGTTATAGAAAATACGTAACGACTGAGTATCATAAACCACTGAAATACAAGCATGAAAAGGTATCATTATCCATGAAGTCATGAACATGGATATGCAGATAATTACATACTAAAGGACTAGATGAAAAAAGAAATTGGTTCCACATATGATGCCAACTATTCAAGGATGCATATAACGAGCTAAAAATAAAGAATATACAGAATCCATGGATGCACAACACATAAAGAAACATGAGTTATGTCCTTGAGATCTGATTTCACATGCATCCTGCTACTACTGCTTGCTCCATTCTAAATTAGTAAGAACTATCACTACAACTCTGGAATGAGCGTACATCACAGCACAGCTGATAAGAACAGAATACAGTGAATAACTAGAAATACACAGTTAAAAAATGTTACCTGAATTATCATGTCAAAATGCAAGGGTTGGGAATTGATTGAATAATTAACAAATAATTTATTAATTATTTGTGTATTTATCTGGTTATATTTGATTCGATAGTTCACTTAATAACAAATGAATAATAGTTCAAATCAATTCATAAATGAATCGAATTTAACCATCTGCAACATATTTGATTCATTTGATAAACTATTTGTTTATATTTTGCATTGTAGTCCTTTGTCATGAATTTTTGGAAAAAATGACAACATTTGATCCCTATGTGAATAATTATACTCATATTTGTCAAAAAGACGTGCTTAACGTTTGATGTATCAAGCCGAGAATTAGTAATCACTCCAAATATCATTTGCATGTAGGTTGTCGCCTTCTCCATGTAAAACCATTCAGAAGAAAGTAGTAATTGCACGTAGACGGATGTAGCACCTTCTCCGACACAGAATAGTTAGGACTCAAATTTGATAATTACATACTTCTTGTATACTAAATTTACAACTAAAAGCAACTTGTACTGTTATACTAAGAAGTAGGAGCGTTTTCTACTTTGCACTAGGAACTTTTTCTACTTTACACTAGGAAGTAGGAATGTTTTCTAAGTGTTGTAGAGTATATGTTTCTGTTTACATCTGTTAGCTTTTATATTGTTGGTGTGACAGTGTGACACATACTTTTGTTGCTCCAGTATCAACGTCCCTATATCACATTTGTATATTCTGTTGCAGAAATATAATAAACTACTTCTTTTTACTAATAAATAATTATCGATTAAGTAACAGACGGTTATGGAATAAAACAAACAATATGCATGAATGAGCTAAACAAATATCCGTGAATAATTATCGATACTGAATTGTATAAACGAATAGAACTTGAACATCATTTGGTATACAGATCTAATTCGAACAATGGCAAATGAACTGGATTGAATCCGACTATCTTACTATTTGGTTCATTGTGGTCCATGTCCCAACAAAATGTCAAGGGAGCAAGGGTAATTCCTGTAAAAAAGACACTGGCCGTATGCCAAAACAGGCTGTATAAGAAAAAAGGATTACTACAAGATTGGGAGATTAGTCATGCTCAGTTCAATGTGCATGAATAACAAAGCATGCTTATTGTTTACATAGTACTAAAGGGACATAAAGCACCTACACATGACACTCTTCATATTTACATTGCCTAAAAATATGGAACAAATATGTAAAGGGTTAAAATCAATATGATATATCCTACGTCCTACCGAATATTGTCCTATTTTTTCCGAGTACGTCCAAAGCTATGTTACATGTGTTCTGCTATCAGAAGTCGTACCCAGCACATACCCGTACCCAAACTTCTTGGACATTACTTGAATATATGCACATGCTTATTCAGGCATATACTCAATTACATAATACATGTTTTAATTGAAAACACTCCTCATACACTTCTTGAACGTATATTCTACACTTCACATCTATTTCTTATATATTATTATTAATCTTATGTATATGAAAAAACATTGATCTAATGTAAATTATTAATTTTAACACTGATAAATATACCCGAATATTAACATAAGCACTATATATTATATATATATATATAGTATATTATAGTATATATATATATATATAGTATATGAGATTAATGGTATCCATATGTCATGATGAGAGGATTCTCTGGCATATATCAATGATGTGACACAATCTCCCGCAAGTGTATTTATGAGCATTCTCTGCTCCATACTTTATTCACCTTGGTGGAATTGTTGCCACATCATTGTATATGAGGGAATCGCTCTCATATGAGCATATGATACCCATTAATCTCTCTCTCTCTCTCTCTTCTGCCTCTCTCTATATATATTATATATATATATTATACTATATATATATATATATATATATATATATATATATATATATATATATATATATATATATATATATAGTCGTGTCCCCGTACTCTACCTTACCGGTATCTGTACCCATGCAACTTAGTTCCAAAGTATCCTCTAGTCTACGTTAAGTGCCTATTGACAATCCTAGTTATTTGCGTAAGTACTTCGGATCTTCTGTAAATCACCAAACTTATCTAATTAGTTAATAAAGAATTTTTTTCCCTTGAAGATATAAATTCCAAATTCATGTTCGACATATCTTTTCATGTTGATTATTTAGTACTCTAAGGAGAACTGACATAGAGCTTGTTAACTTTGTACGTCGTATTAAACATCAAAAGAGGTTTGAAATAGACTTGATATGAACTAAGATATAAATAAGCTGCTAGGCTATTAGTGCCTGCTTAAAGATTATCTGTTTGGACCCCTTGGATTCTTTGCCATAACTTTGAGATTTGCAACTGCATATGCACTGTTGTCCCCGGAGCAGTCTGTTGTACATGACTAAGATATTCCTTATTGAAACCCAAGTTTAGAACTCAAGTGTGCACAACCTTCAAGCATCATTATTATCACCATCATCATCATCAACGTGTTCATATCAAAACAGGATCAGCCATAAAGTATGTCTTGAAATTAAGAAATTCATCAAAGGAACTTAATGAGTTTCTAGAATTAATTGCCAACTGAATCTACAGATTTCACAAGGTTATTTTATATGGGAGCTAAATAACTCATAGATACTCAAGATATGTTAAATTAGGTGAAGAAAGTTCTTATTTCTCTACAAAACCATGAGGCAACATAGTTGATTTAACAAAATTTGAAGTATTTAAGCAGAAAAGCAGGATTGTCAATTCAGCACTTCCAAATATGATGGATTGAACGAAAATATAACTGTATGCAGAGGAGATAAAAACAAGCTTGGCTTGCAATTCCAAACTCCAAAAAGTTCCCACGTTAATAGATTTATTGATTGTCTAGTGGTCATTTGACCTTACAGAGTTGGCACCGCTTTAGGCACAGACCGAGCAACAGATTAAACAACAAGACAACCCAGATAACCTTATACGTCATCTTAGAGGTTTAAGGCCTTGGCTGATTAGCCTAGAAGCCAAGAGAATCTCCAACTTCAAAATGGGTGGAAGATCTTAAGGTATAAAACATTCAGATTAGTGCTTTGAGGTAGAAAAAAGTTATACGGCCAGAGAGTGGATTCAGATTCTCAGAAAGCTCTGTAAACCTTCAAAGATTGGTTTCATTAAGGAAATGTTGACCTACTATGATAGTTCTCATGTGTCAAGCTCAGCTTTGGTCTCATTTGAGAGGGGAAGGAAATTGCACGTGATTATAGACTGGGTACAGAGAGTTTAGTGCTTTAAGGAGGAAAAAAGGGTACAGAGAGAGTGGATTCAGTAAATCTTCAAAGATTGGGTTCATTAAGGAAAGGATGGCATACCATGAAAGCTTCTCTAGCGTTCATCTCTCCTTTGGGTGGGGAGCAAAATGGCACATGTTTGTTGACTGAAATAAAGCAGCAAGTGCCAGAACAAAAGCGAGGTCCTATCTAGGTCCACTCGACTCCCTTGATTTTGCATTCTGGCCTAGAGGCTTAGGAGGAGTTCAATTAAGAACTAGCAAGCATGATCCTTTATTTGACATGAACCTCTCGCTTCTTCTTTGCCAGAAGACATATTATGTGCATATATACATGGCTTGTGTGTCGCTCAGGTTGAAAGATATTGGTGGGATGTTATTTGAAGTCTTCCTGCCTTCAACATTTAGAAGTACTTCTTCATGTTGCTTTTAACACGTCAATAAAATGGCCTTGGAATAGTTTAGTCCATGGGTATGTGCGTCCAATTAATTCGTTGCTTTAAACTGCAACTATAGTTTAAGACTCTACCATGGTCCAGGGAATTTGCTAACATAAGCATAAGAATTTACACAATGCATATAATGGAGAACTCTGCCAGCTAGCCTCCTCAGTCTGCAGCAGTTGGCAATGCTCTCTTACGAATAATTCCGTTAAATGATCAGGAATTTTAGCACCAAAGGATAAAGCCATAAAAGGGTGCCACCCAGCACATAGTGAATATTCTGACGGTTTGTTTCCTTTTATTCACTTTCTCAAACTTAGGTTTTCCACAGGTGACTCCATTAAATGATGCAGTAGAAGATATGATCATGTACCCAAACTGTGTCCTCTTAAAATAGTGTTAAAATAGCATCAAATGTGCTATTACAATATGTAAAAGTAAGAGGAAGTTCAGGAAGGAAGGAAGAAAATAAGAATGAAAACTGATGAAGATGGTGATAACGATGGTGATGAAATGTGGAAATCAGTTAAGACAATAGAAGCAAAAACTAATTTAATCGAACAATAGAAGAAAAAACTAATTTAATAAAGGGGCAAGAAGAAAAAGAAATGGTGGTGGTGGTTGTTGGTGGTGGTAGTGGTGATGAAATGTTGGTGGCAGACACTGGTGATAATCAAACAAGAGAAGTTAATCAATAATATTCTTGCAAGAGAAGAAAATATTAGCATATGCATAAATTTTAACAAGCTGAATTGAAGCACCACCTCTAGATTTCTAGCAGAAAGCTTCTCATCTAATGCTATAAGCTGTCCATTGACTGCAGATGTTGCTGCTACTCGAGCCCTCCGTCCTTGGATCAAAGCTGAAACTTGGCTAGATAAAAAATCAAACTGGGACTGCTGACGTCTGAGCTGCTTTTGCAGTTCTAGAACTTCTGCTTTGTATGCCAGTTTGGCTTCTCTAAAGGGTAAAAGGACAACATTAGAATAACATTGAATAACACACAAATTAAATAGAGCTACTCTACAACAAATTTAGGTTCTATATATACATGCAACATTAGAAACAGAAGATTATGGACTTAGGAGAGAAATTGAACAAAAATTGCATATCTATCTCTACAAATCACTTGAATGTTTTAAATATCCCCGATGTAGCCAAGATGTTCTTTAGGAGGGGTTAGTCACCTAGAACTTAAAATTGGAACTGGGATAATATGTGGGATAAATTATTAAGGTGTTAGTCACATAGAACTAAAACTAGAACAAAAATTTACAGTGTTAGTCAAGTAGAACTCTAACAAAACTAGAATTGGGATAATGGTACAAAATTATCCCACTTTTTTATTTTTCTATACAAAAATGAGAGTTCTAGTCTCTCAAATTATTCCAAGTTTTAGCTTGGAGCTAGGTGGTAAAAAATTAGAACTCATATTTATTTTATTATTTTTTATTTTTTATATTTCTTTTTTTTCTTTACTTCTTTCCTATTATGGTTATCACCATCATTAGACCATCATTATAATAAAGTCAATATATTATAGTCTAACCAAAAGTTATTTAATAGTAAAGAACATTCTTGTAAGCAATTATCAATCAATAATAGTAAGTTTAAAATACATAAATAGTATTTATATCTTCAAAATGCATAAATATATATTTCATGATTATAAATATTTATCCCACGTTATTTTATCAAAATATTCCGCTTCACAAAATTGTTCCTATTTATCCCACTAAAATATCCCACTAGCGAAAAATTATTCTACTTTAACAATTATCCCATTTTGCATAACAATGTCCCAATTGACTAAGACCCCCTTAATAAATTTTGCCGCAAAAAGATATGGTCTCAATTTTCTTTAGTGGTTTTTGACATTTTTTGGGTGATATATCCCTCACATGGCCAATATATCAGTTAATATGTTGACCGATGTGCCCTTCTATATGGATTATTGCAAAGTAATATAATTCTGCAAAATTTATTTAATGTTTTATAAGCAAAAAATTTCAGCCAATGAAATTCCAATAGGCCCTTTTCCTTAAATAATTTTCTCCAATTGCTTAGTGTTACTAAACATGCATTATTTACACTTTTGTATGTTTCAGCTTCGTTAAGCATGTTTAGATTACATTTTAGGGCATCATATTATATATGCACATCATCAAATATGGCACTTTGATATTAACTGCAAATCCAGATATTTCCCCGATATCTGCAATCCGATATTGCAATCCGATATGCATTTTGGTTGTTCGATATTTCCTTGATATATCTGATATTTAAAACCTTGATGCTAGAATATAACTATCTTAGCTAGATAACAGGATAAATATAAAAAAGAAAATCTATGAGACCTTGCAATAATGAAAGCAATCATAAAATACCTTCCATTGATGTGAAGTAATAATAAAATTCATGGAATATTAATGTGATGAGTCGATGACCTGAAATAAAGACTGTATAAAATTTTAAAAAACCCAATAGATTGTGCCCAACAAAACCACCCTTTCTGCTCTAGTAGATTTAGGTACTAACTCTGGTTCTACTTCGTCGCTTATTTTCAGTCTTTCAGATTTTAGGTGGGTGGGAAATTGAATGATAAGTAAACGATATATGGGTCAAACAACTACAATCAATAATAAAAGCCTAGAAATATTAGTTAGCTTAATCCACTGGTATAGGTTCTATTTAGAGAACCCTCTAAAGAAAACAACTCCTACGGACAGAAACTGCTCATTTGATGTGTTCCTAGCAAGATTGTCAGCTCTGACAGTGATCATGAAATACAGGATACCACATACGTCACATTCTCTATAGTGCACATATATATAAAGCTTTATTCACCAGTTAAATCTTTGCATGGCATGTAAACGTAAATAACTAAAAATGTATATTACAGTGGTTTTTAAAACTTGGACCAATGTCACAAACCTAACGAATTTAACAAATAAAAACCTAGCCTTTCTTGTTGTTGCCTCCTAATCCTCTCAGGAAACCCCTGAAATGCAGCCCAACCCAACCTTGGCCCTATAGCTGCAGCTAAACTTCTTGTTTCCTCTTCATCTGAAAATCAACCTTCTTTACCCTAACTATACCTCTAAAATCCCTCTCTACTTCCTGTCCCGTATTACAACTGAGTGAGGATATTGCTAATAACTAAAATATATTGCCTTCAAAGGAATTGCATTAATATATGACATATGTTCAGCTTGTATTAAATAAGTTAAGATAAACAGTATATCCCTAAGATGAACAAGAAAAGAAAAAACAGAGAGAATGATCCTTAAATAGACATTGCTAAAAGAACAAAACAGATACTTATAATGAACAAATACCGAGTACAAGAAAATCTGGAAGAAAAGACTGTTACCTAATATCAATAAGTCTTTCTTCAGCACCAAAAACTGCTTCCTGATTGTCTCTCCCACTTGAAAAGGCTGAAATGCTATCAAATGCCGAATCCAAGTCCTCTCCCTGACAAGGATTTTCATGTCATAACACGCTCAGGTAATTTAACTATTGTACTTGGACTAAAGGATGTTTGCCAATTCCAAAGTATAAAATGAAAGTATGGTAGTGGAGTCACTTTCAATCAACAGAGTGACATGAAGGAAACAAGGTTTGTTGTGTTATGCACTAACACTTCTAATGCTTTTACACTGTTAGTGTCATGCATGCTAAATTAACAAATGAGCATATTCATACACGAGTTCTTTTGAAAATTGAAACATTTTGCAAATTATGTCACATTCTTGAATAATTAGTAGAATATCCATATTGTTTCTCAGCTTTTCTCCAATCCTTCATCAAAATAATCCAAAAACTGAAACATGTGAATGAATATATGAAACGTTAGCATGATATAACTACTTATACATTAGAGGCAAGGGGAACAATTTCCAATTGCAAATAAGTACAAATAAGTGAAAATAAACATGCATACCTCTAATAGCTTCCCTTCTTGGAGAAATTGTTCATACCTAAAAAGCAGAGAATGAGAAACCATTAGAAAAATAATGATGCTCTTTGTTCCCTTCATTTATTTAAGCTTACGAGGAAAGTAACCAATGTCTTCTGTCCTCCACCTCCTGCCACACCCTAAACTTCAGAAACGCCCATTTCTCAAGAAAATGTGAGGGAAAACATAGGTGCATTGTCCATAAAATTCCAACAACAGAAATATGAAGCATCCTCATCTTGTCAATCAAACACAAGAATGATTACTAAATGCAAAAGTAAGATTATTCTTTCTTCTTCTTCTTCCTTTTTCTTTTTCTATCTTTATAAAAACAATCTTTTTTTACATTTTTTCCTCCAAGGTTGCTCCTAAATCTCTTTTTTTTTAACTACAAAAGGAGCTAGTTTTTTGGGTCCATTAGTCCCACATTGACGATATGGGTAGGTCAATGTGGGTCTATTAAGAGTTTTGGATTCCCTCCTAATAGCTAGCTTTTACGGGTGAGTTCTCCTATGTCTCCAATAAATGATATCAGAACCAACCCATCTTCCCATTTGCAAGGGAGCGGGCATGGATGGTGGTGACATCACATGCGGTGTTTGCTCAGAACTAGTCAATTGCAACACCAAAGCAGTGAGACCAGGATTGTGGTAATTAATGGAATAGGCTAAAGCAAATCAGTCAGCATGGGCGCCAAGACTATGGAAGCATCGTGGTATGTTAAGATGCATTTAGTCCCACGTTGAATAAATAGGATAACCAATGTATGTTTATCAGAGATTTGGGTTCCCTTGTTAACACTAATTTTTAGGAGTTCTTATTTCCCTAACATTAGCTGCTATTATACAAGAACTCCCAAATGAAGATTATTTTTCTCTTCCAGACAAATCAAATTTGATTATATTGGAGGTATACAGCCGAAATCTCATCCACCGTTCCAAAGACCCTTACCCTAAAAATAAAATTACAGTCGGACAACACCCGCATTCCGCAAAGTATTTCAAGTGACAACAGATTTCTAACCCACTTTTCGGCCTGCATAAGGTTAATCACAGAAAATAATAGTCTTTTTACTTTATATAGTTTTTTTCCCCAACTTACTAGTTCCATAACCCTAACAATCAAATTGCACACAAACGACACCCACATTCCCCCAAAAACTGTGAGTTAGATCCATTTTCCAAACTCCCACTTTCCGCAAAGTAGTTTAAGCAAAAGCAGATTTCTAACCCAATTTCAAGCCTACCTAAAGTTAACTGCAGAATGCAAGTAAACAACGTTTGTACTTTATGTAAGTAATTTTGTACAAATTCTCTCTAATTCAGTTGCCCCTGAACCCTAGAAAACTAAACTGTAATGCACATTCCCCAAAAATCTTCAAGTGACAACCGATTTTGGAGTCAAAATTCAAAAAGGAAAGTGCACGAAACAAAGAGAGGATCTTACTGCGAGATCTCGGAGGTGGACAAGACATTCGAAGGCCGGAGAGTGGAGCAGATCCAATCGAGGACAGGGCGCACCTCCTCGTACTGAAACGAAGCTATCGGGATCGAGAGCATCGCCGGCGCCTCCTCCCCGTTGCTGAATCCAAGATCGCCGAGGACGGCGCATAACGAGCGCCCGCTCATCGCCTCTCTCCGCCGCCGCCGTTAGGGTTTCGCGGGGTGCCGATCATCTCCGTTGCTGTTCTTCTCGTTTCTTCCGATAGTTGCGCTTTTTTTTTAATTAATTAATTAATAATTAGGGTTTGGAAATGCCGGCCGCTGACGAGCACGATTGATCCGTGGGGAAGTTGAAAAGGAGGGACTGCGGTCTGAGTCCGTGAGAGGCCGATACTTTTTCAAAATCCCTTTGTTGGTGTTTTCTTCTTTTTTGGTGTTTTCTTCTTTGGAAATCCCTTTTTTTTCCCCGGTGTTTTCTTCCTTCTTCCTTTCTCTGGTGTTTTCAAAAGAGCAAATTTTCACTGTAGACCGATTTTTAATTTTTATTATCGAAATCGATCGTGTTCTGTTTTATTTATCGGAATCGACCCGGTTTCTCATCACGTCAGCGCCGTGACGAGAAAACAGATCGATTAATTTTTAAAGGGCCTCGTAAACAGTCAGGGCTGCCAACCCCGACTGTTTAGTCGATCCGCTACGAGGCCCTTAACTAATTGGTTGGAGTTGGGAACCCCGACCAATTCGAAATGGTCCTATTTCGAATTGGTCGGGGTTTCCAACCCCGACCAATTAGTAGAGCCCAACCACCGCTGGGTTTGGCCAGGGACGAATCAGTCGGGGTTCCCAACCCCGACCATTTCGAAGCCCATTTCGGCGGTGCTTGGCCAAGGCAAAAAGTAGTCGGGGTTGGGAAACCCGACTACTTATTCTGGGCCCCCTCCAGTATAAAAGCCACTGAACCCTATTTCCCTTTATCCCATTTCGTTTCTCCGCCTCCCTCTTCTCTCTTCCGTCCCCGTTCTCACGAAACTAAGCTTCAGATCTGGAATTTCAACTGGTTTCTTCGGTCGAAATTCAAATCAAAAGTTATCTTAAACTTCTTTAGGTAATTTCTTCTATTCCTCTCCTCTTTTAACATGTAGAAATCTAGGATTTTTTCTTAAAAATAAATTTTTAGGGTTTTCATTCATAAATGAATTTCGTGGGTTAGAGTTATCGCTGAAATTCGTTTGTATGATGATTGTTATTGATGTAATTAACTTTTAGGGCATAGAATGTTCAATTGTTCAATTTTAGGGTTTAGGATTTACAATTTGGGAATTAGGGTTTTTGGTTGAAATTATATGAGATTATTTGCATATTAATTTAATTTTTTATATTTCAATGATATAATTTTTTTTTTGAATAGGTTGAGCAATATGATTTTTATTGCTTATTCTTATGGTGGACAAATTAATTATGGGATGAATAATATGTCAATGTACGTCGGAGGGGTAACGACGCCATTAATGATCTCGGAATCATATAGTTACTACGACTTGGTTATGGAATTACACCGAGTTACGAAAATTGATCCACGAGAATACCGACTGAAAATTATATGCAATTGGCCCATAGCTATTAATAGAACATCCGCAGTGGAGATCTCGAACGATTATCATATGAGTATTATGTTTAAATTGGGCATGTCGCAACAAACGGTAGAATTATTTATTGAAAAGTTGCCACATAATTCGTGCCAACTATTCAAACCTCCAGGAGAATTCTCACGCATGTTAGATATGGGAGTTCATTCCGATGGGTTTCTTTCTTCTTCGAATGAAATGGAGCGGGCTCAATTCGGTGGAACGTCAAATGTCATGAATAACGAAGTCTCTTATGGAAATATGGGGAGGTTAAGTGGGGCAACAATCGAAGAGGATGAAATAAGCAACGACTCGGGAGGTGAAGAACAATATAGTGCACCAGTTGATAGCATGCAATTCGTTACCCAAGATGTCGAAGATAATCCGGAATGGCCTGATGAGGCTTACGTTAATAATGATTATGTTGAGTACGAAGAACCACCCCCCGACGAGTTTGAAGATGATGAGTGGATTCGTTCTTCCACAGTAAAAGATATGTGCATCGGTGAAAGTTTAATTCGTAGAGGAGATGATGACGCCCCCTTTAAAGTTGGTGATTTATTCGAGACTAAGGACCAATTGGTTGATGTTATTCGTGAATACTCTTTCGAAAAAAATTTCAAGTTCAAGCAAGTTAAAAGCAATCGCACAAGTTATGATGCAATATGTTTTATGAACACACAAAGAACAGGTCTGACCGAGGGAAATGAAGCTGATTACTCATGTCCTTGGAAGTTATATGCATTTGCAGGAAAGAAACACAATTTTCAATTTAGGATCAGTGAATACTGCGGTGTTCACACATGTGTCAATCTAATATTAGAGCAAGATCACAGTGGTGCATCTGCCTCTTACATAGCGCGATTGATTATGCCAAAATTAAGGAATAAGCTTGATCTAACGCCCGATAATATAATTGAGAAAGTGCTTGATACCAAGTTCATTAAAATCTCGTATATTAAAGCATGGAAAGCAAGGAGAATTACGATGATAAAAATATTTGGTGATTGGGACAAGTCTTACGCGACACTACCTCAATATCTTGATGCGATCAAAAGAAGTAATCCTGAATCTGAATACAAACTCATAACCAAAGAGATCGATCCGAGAGTTCATCAATTCACCTCTGTTTTTTGGGTATTTGGGCCTTCGATTGAGGGGTTTAAATTTTGTCGGCCTATTCTTAGCATTGATGGCACACACTTATATGGTAAATACAAGGGTGTACTGCTTGTTGCTACAGGAGTTGATGCATATGGTGGCTTATTTCCTTTGGCCTTCGCCGTTGTGGAGGTCGAGAACAGTGAAAATTGGGAGTGATTTTTTTCTTGCATTCAATTATATATTTTTAATGTGTTGCCTCCTAGAAAAATTACTTTCATGTCTAATAGGATGAAAGGTATTCCCAAAGCATTGTGGAGGAGATTTGGCTCTCATCACAATCATCGCTATTGCTTACGACACATTAGAGCTAACTTCAAAAAGAGCTTTAGTCAGATTCATTTACAAAACCTTCTGTGGCAAGCAGGTTGTACGCCCGAAACATGTGTGTATGATCGGATACGGGATCAAATCAAGGCAACATCTCAAGCTGCACATGATTGGATTGAGAGTAGTCTGGGCAGTGATTACGTCGACCGGTGGGCACTTAGTAAAGATGGAGGAATCAGTTCTACATGATGACAACCAATTGTTCTGAAAGCTTCAACGGGGTACTTAAGGGGGCTCGGGCAATGCCTATACAGGCGTTGGTTGCGAGGACATTTTACAGGCTCAATTACTATTTTGTCAAGCGGCGAGAGGATGGAGCAATGTGGGCCTCGTTCTTGACACCAAAAAATGAGGCGATTTTAGGAGCGCGAGTTAAGCAGGCGAGATGCACGAAGATTGTTAGATTTGCTGTAGATGAATGAGAGGTTACAGACAAACATGGTCACAATTACACTGTTAACTTGGGAGGTGCACATTGCACATGCACATGTAACATACCAAAATTGCAAAAATTTCCTTGTTCACGTGTCATAGCGGTTACGTCCAAGCAATCGGGGGTGCAAATATTTTGTATTACACATACGCTTCTAAGTGGTATCAATCAAGCAACTATAGAGAGGCATATAAGCAGTGTTTCCACCCCGTACATGATAGTCGTTATTGGCCACACTATAACGGGCCGCATGTGGTGCCTCCAAGCTATAAGAGACAAGCCGGACGCCCGCGATCAGTACGCTTAAAAGGTACTATGGATGAAGGCCGTGAAGGAGCTCCGAAAAAAATAGATGTGGATATTGCAGACAAGCCAGGCATAGAAGATCTCATTGCCCGACCAATCCAAATAGATAGCAATTAATGGGTACAATTTTATACATTTGTAATTTTATTCTAACTCATTTATAGATCAATGCTTATAAAAAACTCAATCAATGTTTATAGATCAATGTTTATAATAAACTTAATTTTTTCTAACTCAATTATAGATCAATTAATGGATCATCATTATATGTGCAGATATTTCAGTTATGGAGGCGGGTCCATTGACACATGATGTCCTTTATGATCAAGAGCGCCACCGATCCGCGAAGATAGACGCTAGGGAGGTAAATTGCATTTTTATTATTTTCAATTATATATAAATTTCAATGTTGTTGATTGTTACTGAACATTTACACTGTTTACTACATGCAGGCCCCGAGTATTACTGTTGTTGATCATACCCGTGCATACTCTAGCTGGGAGTTGATGGATCCACAGATACAGCATTATGTGCGTCAAGTCGGCTTTTTTGAATGTTCACAACTTAAATGGGTAAGACATGATTGGGCACTTTTGACGGCATTGGTTGAACGATGGAGGCCTGAGACAAATACTTTCCATCTGCGCCAAGGAGAGGCGACGATTACCTTGCAGGATGTTGGAGTTATACTTGGCCTCAGAGTAGATGGTGAGGCAATGACGGGCACCGATGACTTCAACTATGTCAGGGCGTGTGAAGAATTGTTCGGTCACTGTCCTACAATGAAGGGGGGAAAGATCAAGCTCGAATGGTTAAGGAATAACTTTATGAATGTACCGATCGATGCGACTGATGAGATCATTAAGAGCTATGCCCGTGCATATATTTTACATATGATCGCGACTGATGAGATCATTAAGAGCTATGCCCGTGCATATATTTTACATATGATCGGTACTATTCTGTTTTCGGATTCCACTATGGATTCCGTGCACATGAGATGGTTACCGCTTCTTGGGAACCTATCGGAGTGTGGAGAGTTATTTTGGGGGAGTGCAGTATTAGCCTACTTGTATAGAGAGATGACGAAAATAGCACTCGTACAAAACAAAGAATTGAAGGGCTACCTCACTTTGCTGCAGATATGGTCATGGGAGCGATTGCATTTGGGAACACCTGATTTGAGGGAGGCCCGTGCTCTCGATGGCCATATTCCGTTAGGCTGCAGATATTATTAAGATGCATGTAATTTTAGTGCTTTATTTCAATATATACTAACCCGTTGTATATAAAATAGATGGAACGTGTCCAGATCTTGGCAAACCTCTCCAAAGGGGCATGAAAACTTTTACAGAAACGAGCTTGATCAAATAGAGGATGAACAGGTATAAAAATTATAATATCTAAATATATTCAATTATGCGACCAATTGTTACCGATATCTAAATATATTCAATCAATATATCATAATATCTTCTTTATAGGTCAAATGGATGCCCTACGAGCTAGTGTTGGAGTCATTACCGGATATTTGTCGGGAAGGTGAGGATGTATGGCGTGCTCGCATCCCACTTATATGCTTTGATATTGTTGAAATGCACGTGCTTGACTGTGTGCTTCGACAATTTGGACTACGGCAACGTATTCTAGAGCCTGTGGAGAGAATAGAGAGAGATTCAAGAAAAGGTGCACATCGTGCTAATTCGGAAGTAATTCGCCAAAATTACATCCAGAGATGGGATTTAAGGGAGGAACAGGTAGTGATGGAGAGGGCTGATGCACCTGACCTAGGTGTGTACCCGCGGTGGTATTGGGGGATTACTCGTCGGTGGATATTTCAGGAAAACAAAGCCCCGAAGGAGTACATACCAAGAGGCCCAGTCGAGAGAGAGTTGGTAAGTGTATAAGAAAAATATACAATTATTTTCTGAGTTTTATTTTCTCACCATCCACTTGATAATAATTTTCTTTCGGTTTTTATTTTATAGGTACAAGAGCTCGAAGAGCTTTCTACTATGGCACATGACGCATTGCGCACGACTACCGAGCAGGAGCCGAGGAACACGTTCATTCGAATGATAAAAAAGATATGATCGGCTCTTCAGAGGACGCGTAATGCAAGCCGTGATGGACGGGAGGAGTGACCAATTGAGTACGGGCGGTGATGTAGATGAGGACACACGGGGGCGGGATCAAGCTGTGCGCATGATGAAGCTGGCGGCTCACAGCAGGCTCAGGCCGGATATTCACAGGCGGTTCGAGTCGACGCGGATGTCATGCGCTCCTAACTTTACACACAACCGGATGAGGAACTTATCCGAGCTCACGTCGAAGGTGAACAGGGAAGGGGGAGAGGAAGAAGAGGGAGAGGGAGAGGAAGAGGGAGAGGGAGGGGAAAGGGCGTTGTTGATATTTGTTAAGTTTCGATGGACTTGATAAGATATTTGCGTTTGAGTTGCAATTTGTACTTGATATGTTGTTTGTGTTGCGATAGATTTGATATAATGTTAAGTTTGCGAATATGAATTATACGTATGATATTTGTGTTTGTGATTGCATTGTGGATTGATAACAGGAGTATGATTGCATTTTAGCATGTGTTATTTGTGATTACATTTTGTACTACAGGAAGTATGAGTTTTCCAAGTAAATGTGGGCTGGAATGGGGTCTGCAAAATGGTCGGGGTTGGCAACCCCGACCATTTCGTCGGGTTGGGAACCCCGACCAATTCGAAATGTGTCCAGATCGAATTGGTCGGGGTTCCCAACCCCGACCAATTAGTTAAGGGCCTCGTAGCGGATCGACTAAAAAGTCGGGGTTGGTAACCCCGACTGTTTACGAGGCCGTTTAAAAAATAATCGACCCGCTTTCTCGCCACGGCGCTGACGTGGTGAGAAACCGGGTCGATTCCGATAAAAAAATGAGACAGGGTCGAATTCAGTAATAAAAAGTTAAAACGGGTCTACGGTGAAAATTTCCTCGTTTTCAAAATCCCTTCCCAGTCGCTCCCAGAAAAGGTTGAACAATATGAGAATCTTATGTGACTAAGCCATTTAAACCTTTTAGACATGTGACTTGGCCTAAAAAATAAAGTCCTACCAACTCGGCAGTATACATTTTTTTCTATACTGTAATTTTATAAAATCCTTCTCTCTCATATTCTCCTTTCTGTTGTTGTCAGAATGGACCAATCTTTAGATTAGGACTAGAGAATACTCTATCATCGGGACGGATGGGGTTTGTTGGAGCCTGAGGCGGGCGTGACCGGCCTTTTTTTGTTGGTGGGGTTTTTCTCCACCGTCAATGGCCTCAGAGTGGCTGAGGGTGGAGGAGGTGCTACGTCGATGTTGAGAGTGTTTGTTTGGGATTTTAGAGAGAGGAGAGAGAAGAAATTAAGGAGATAGAATGGTGTATGGATATTTTGTTAATAACTGAGGAGAGAGCGTGTATAGTTAAGTAGAGAGGTTGGGGTAGTGATATGTTAGTTTGTAATTTGAGAGAGAGAGAGAGAGAGAGAGAGAGAGCATGTTGATGATTCGGGAGAAATCGATGGAGGGGAGAGAGGAACAAGGGGTAGAGTTTAACATTTCTAATTGTACGATGATTGATGAGGAGAGGAGAGATTTGAATGAGGAGAATAAGTGGGAGGAGATTGTTAGCAGTAAATTTTAATAGACATATTAACTATGTAAAATATCTATTGATTCTAAAAAAATAGATGCTAATCTATGAAATAGAATTTAAATATAATAGATGTCAAACATATGAATTAGAAGTTAATTTTAATACATAGATGTTAACTATACATATTATCATTTAACTTAACAAATAGATGATAAATATTTGAGTTAACAATGTATTTAATTTAACTATATAGATTATCGGGCAATTATGATAAATAGATGTCAAATATAGGGATTAGAATTTAAATATAAGAGTTAGATGTTAATATATAAATTAGAAGTTACTTTTTAACACATATATGTTAATTATATGGATTACTTATTAATTAACTATTTAGAAAGGGAAACATTAGCTAAAAATATTTGTGAAAAATCCCTAAAAGCTTAAGAAATTGCAAATAACTCTCTGAAAATTTTGCATGCAACCCCAACAAGTTTTAAAAATTGCAAAAGCCCTAAAAATATTGCAAAAGGTCCTAAATGTTTCAAATATTTGCATAAAAATCTTGCAAAATGCTTCTCTAAAAATTTAGAAATTGCAAATACCCCTGGAAAATTCTATGTAAATTACGTGAAAGTTTAAAAAATTATGTAAATTAGGTGAAACTTTCAAATCCCCCCATAAAATTTTATGTAAATTATGTGAAAGTTTCAAAAAATTTAAATAACCTCTTGAAAATTTCGCAACAAACCGTGAAAATTTAGGCTTAACCGTTGTTGATGTACTAGTGATCAAACAGACAATATGTATCCATGTAGGGATGAGTTTGTTGAGGATTGATGAGGGACCGCTTTCTTCCCCGACTTTATATCTGGTTCTTGAGTTAGGTGTCTGAAAATCTGCACGTGTAGAAATTCGTAAGAGGACGGGGCTTGGTTCCCCCGTTGTACCTCCGACGATCAAGCTAGCTGGTGAACTTGAGTGGGGTAAATAAGAACTGTGAAAGTTCTTGTATATATACAGTATGATTTCCAGAATTTGAGAATTTGGATCAGAATCCAGAGTTCAGCCTTGTTCAAGTTGAAATAGTACATCTATTTATACCAAAGATGTAAGGGTAGATTGGTCACTTCGGTCAAGCACTGAGAGTCCATGGCGAAGTGTGAGATGGCGGTTGCATCAGCACCTGCTTTACAGGTGTCGACTGGTGACTGGGGGAAAGATCACTTCAGTATTAAACGAGAAGTGAGTAGTGGCATGGTGGTGCCCCACGTGGTCCGATGAGTCATGAAAGCTATCGGGGCTAGAGGCATGATGTGTCTGATATGCTGTTTGTGGGAAATTTTGCAGTAAAAGAAACGAAGGAAAGTTGATTTGTATTCCTTTAATCTCAGTTACAATTGGATTTCCTGATTACAAAAGAAAGGAGAATGATCTGGATTCTCCCCTTTGTTTAATTCTGGATTCTTCACGGTGGCGATGAGATGCCTCCCTCGAATGCTTGCGTCGAGTTTGCTTCTCGTTGACGATCCGACGTCTTGTTTCACTGGAACGTGGTCTTCTCCTCACGATTTGACGTTGTGGAGAACTCTGAACTAGTTTAAAACTCTATGAAAGAGTTGATTTAACCGAAAGTCGGTTATAAGCCAAGGATGAAGAAGATCTTGTTGTCGATCTCCAAAGCTCCAACCGAAGGATGAAGGATCCTCTTTTCGCTGCCAAGAAGTTCCAACCGACCGCCCCTCGAAAGATTCAGCCCTGATCTGATTATCAAAAATCTGATCCCAAACTCTGTTGAGTTTGTTGTTATTTATAGGGGATTAAGGGGTGTAACCACCTCCTTAATTCGCTCCTAAGTGGGGCTAATGGGATGTAACCCCCCCCCCCCTAAATCACTCCTGAGTAGAGTTGTTATCGTTCAACTCGTGTTTGAACGAGTCAAACGCAGATCCTGCATTCTGGCATGAATTCTGTGTCCAAACGCAGTGTCTGGAAGCTTGAACGCAGTGATTGGAAGCTGCGTTTGCAGCGGATGAAAGCTGCGTTTGGCAGCGGTATAGAGCTGCGTTGGGCAGCGCTTGGAGCTGCGTTGGGCAGCGTTGGGCAGCGAATAGAGCTGCGCTGTGCAGCGATGTTGAGCTGCGTCCAGTGGCGATTTAAGTTGCGTTTGCAACTTTTGGAGCTGCATTTGAGCTGCGTTCGTGGCTATGAACGCAGCGCATCTTGATGCTGGTACGCGGGGAGGACTTCCACATCTTGATTTGAAGAGACCGTCGATTTGTAGTCTCTTTCTGTCGAAGCGTTGCAAAGATCGTCATTTTGTAATCTTTACTTTAGCTCTTTGATATGCAAGAGTCGTCAGATTGTAACTCTCGATATTGATGGTGAAGGCTGTTAAACTAGAGCTCTCATCGGTTGTCGTGAAGGTCGTCAGATTGTAACCTTTAGCGATCTACGTGAAAGTCTTCAAATTATAATATTCTGGAAGTCGTCAGATTGTAACTTCCATCATCGGTGTTTGATGGGGATCAGCTATCTATTGTGATTTTTAGACAGCCTACAGAACCCCCTCCAAAGTTTTCGAAAGTTCGCGGTTGACTGGGACGAATTTTC